ACATGAATGACATCTAGTCCAGTTCCTGACAGAGCCTTTGTTTCTCTTCATAACCTTACCGGACCAGGCTTTCCTGTCCACACTTTGATCAGCATCCTGCTCTTAGGAGCTCCCTCCAGATGGCCCATTAATCTCTGCTTAGAGCACTTCAGGACTTCTCTAGCATGCAGGTCTAAACTTCCACATTCCTCCCACGAACTAGTTCCAAAGGCTTATGAATCACACAGTGAGGTACTCACAGCAAAGACTCTATAACTGCTACCAATCTTGTGCCTTCATTATTTTGCTTTTATAGTTTCCCTATAAAATTTCCCTTATTCTTTGAGTATTTCACTCGAGTGTGCAGTGTGTTTTGAACTGTTGTGTTGGCCCCCTACCCCTCTTCACATATTCTGTTTTTCTTTTTACCGTGGCCCAACACCTGACAAGAAGTACGTTAAGGAAGAAATGTTGATTTTGACTCACAGTTTCAGGATATAATCCATCACAACAGAGAAGACACCATGACAGGAGACTCCTCATACCCCTGGCACTGGAAGCCTGTTCACACCTCACAGCTGGGCATTTTAGAACAGAGAGAAGGCAAGACATAGGAGAGACTTGAACCCTCAAGGCCTGATTATCCCATGAATAACTGCTTCCAACTAGCTATTTTGGATGTGTTGAGTTTGATAAAATTCATCATTAAAACTAAAGTCACTTGATTTTTATTTTATTTTATTTAATGTAGGTTCTAAAAAACCCTTAAAGTTGTGTCTGTGTGTGTGTGTGTGTGTGTGTGTGTGTGTGTGTGTGTGTGTGTGTATTGCACATTTATTCACATTAGGCATCCCTGTTCTAAAGTCAAGCTGTGTTTATGATTAACTACAATTAAAATGATGCTTTTAGTCCATCATACTGGTGCGTATCTGCAATACCATCACTCTGGAGGCTGTGAGGCAGTAAGGTCAGGAGTTCTAGGCTAACCTGAGTACATAGTAAGATGTCTCAGAGAAAACAAGAGAGACTGTTCTTACTGATAATGTCTTTTGTCTCTGCATCACAGTCACATCAAACTATAACAGCCAACCAAAGTCTTGTGTAGCAATTTTCTCTGAGACTAAAATTCTCCATCTGGGATGGAAGCACCTAATCAATATACTGTATTGCTGCTTCATACTGTCGATCTTGAATCAGATGAGCATAATTTCAGGAGAATGAGCCTATAGTTTGAGTATGAGGGAAACAATTAAAACAGAGATAATAATACTAAGGTCTGTACAGAGTTTGCATTTAGCAAATATCATCTACTTTACTTTAAAATGAAGGGTAGATTAATAACAGATACATACATGCTTCTATTCACATCCATATATACACAGAGGGAGAGAAAGTTATGCTTTTTAGCCATGCTCTCATTCTCTTTATATATCAGTTTTGCGTAGGAATACTAAATTCTACTTTCCTGTTACATCTCTCGACGAGGCATTTGGCAATATATGAGTTGGGACTTGGTTTACCACATACTAGGTAATTTCCTACAAAAATAATGTTTTTGGCCACTTTTTATCAAGGACAAATTTGCTTAGATTTTGCATAAAACATCTTTTGAAATACCTGTACCTATTAACTTCTCCCTCCAATTGCATGTTCAGCAATGTTATCAATATTATTCTCCAAAAGTCATCTGATTTTGGAATTGTCTAATTAATGCTAAATTAAGACAGCTAAAATTATCTTTGATTGGAACTTAGGAATGATGAGTCTTGGCTGATTGGCAGCTGTCACCTGTAATAGAAATGGAGCCACGGGATTAGCAACTTGACAGAATGCTTCTTTTGCCCTTGGGTTGGACTTGATAGTCTTAACTTATGGTTAGTGAATCATTATGGGAGTCTCTCTATGCTGTGAAACTCCAAGTGAGATTTCATTAGCTTCTGATCCTGGGAAAACTCAGGTCTACAATTAAAAAAAAGAAAAAAAAAGCCAAACTAACAAAATGGCTGTCTCCATTGTTGAGCATGATAGTGAGTGATAGGTATAGAAGAGCATGCTGGCTTTCAGGTGAGGAGGGATGAAAAGGTCACAGGGTCTCATAGATCTAGAAGAGTGCTTGGACAAGAAGGCTTTCCTAGCTTGACTCACTGGGTTGTTACAAGAAGTAATTTTCTTTTTCTTTTGTTGGTTTTAATTTTTAATTTTTTTTTTTGAGACTTGGTTTCTTTATGCAGCCTTGGCTATCCAGGAACTAGCTCTGTAGACGAAGCTGGCCTTAAATTCACGAGATCTGTCTGCCTCTGCCTCCAGAGTGTTGGGATTCAAGGCATGCACAAATACCACCACCCTGCAAGAAGTAATTTTCAAACAGAGGGCTTTGTTGTTACTCAGAGTGCTTCAGTGGGCTCCACAAAGGAGTTCTAAGATAAGAAAGAACATAGTTCTATTAACCTAAGCCAGCACCCAATCTGGGTGGAAAACCAGGACAATACTTAGCCATGAAGAGGCTCTGGCACCATGGATTCCACCAAATCACTCAAGGATGTTTATAATTGACTAGCATGGGTAGAAAGAGAAAGAAGAATGCACTCCATCTGGTTTTGTTTTTGTATATGTATCTTCAAATCGCAAAACAAGAAAATACACTTAAACTCAAACTCTAGGTAAAAAGAATTTGATGTCAATAATCAGACTTTAAAAAACAATGTCTAGCTGGGCAATGGTGGTACACACCTTTAATCCCAGCATGTGAGAGGCAGAGGAAAGTGGGCCTCCAAGTTCGAGGCCAGCCTGGTCTACAGAGTGAATTCCAGGACAGCCAGGGCTACACAAAAATCATGTCTAAAAATAAATAAATAAATAAACAAAAAAAAATGGTATCTAAATATTATTCAACAGAATATATGACTAAGATCCAATGAGTCTCAACTGGAGACAATTTTACACCCAAGGAACTTTTTCCAATGTCTAAACAGAATAGGTTCTAAAAGTAATATTTGTTTCACTGACTTTAACATGTGAAGTCTATTTCACATTTCTAAATCATAGCCAAAAAATTATTTTATTTGTCTTTTTCTCCCCTGTAGAAATAATTTATTTCATAGAAAGAAAATCATAACTCCCCTAGCCACAAGTTTTGACTGTGTTTACGGTACCATACATGAATCCCCTTCTGTGTACAGGCCTCAATCGAGTCAAGAGCGTGGGTGATTACACTCACACAGTCTTGCCACCATCGCACAGGCACATCTTGCCTGGCAGGTCAGTGTTGTCACGTGCAGGTTGCAGTTCTGGGTCAGACTACTGATGCCTCTTCTCCCCCAGCAGCCCGTATAGCTGTTGCTGTTATAAGATCTGTTTCTCTATGTCCTGCAACCAAAGTGTGGGTGTCGTCAAGCACAAGAGTCTTACCATCCAGTGAGTGTGGAAAGGCGAGAGCAATGGCCTATACCTTTTTGAGTATCTCGGGGCCTTCCTGACCTTAACTCCTAGGGAGGTAACCTGTGCCTCAGGTAACACTGAGGTTTCTTTCAAAACCCATGGGAAAAGCATTTTTCATGTATGTGGGTTTTCTCTGTTTAAACTCTTCTCTTTATCCTGAAACTCTCTCTGTAGACCAGACTGGCCTCAAACTCAGAGATTCACCTGCCTCTGGTGGCTGACTGCTGACATCAAAGGGTTTTGCCGCCGCCGCCACCACTGCCGCCGCCACCACCACCACCACCAATACCACCACCAATACCACCACCTCCACCACCACCATCACCACCACCAATACCACCA